AGAACGGGTCGGGACTTTGTGTAAAATGTAAATAAAAACAGAACAAACTGATGTGTAGCTCATAAAATCACATTTTATTCACAGTGGAAACAAACAAACAAATTTAATGTTTGAAAATAAGAAATTCAAACATTTAAAATAATCTGTTCTGCGTTAAACTTGTTCGTGTCGGGCCTCCTGCACTAAAGACGTCTGTGATCCCAACGGGACTCGCCTGGAGTAAATAAACAAATGAAGGCATCTTAATAAACAATAAACAAATGAAGGCATCTTAATAAACAAATAAAAGTAAATAATTAAAGGCCGGTATAAATAAAACTAAACAAATAACAGTAAACAGATAAATAAATAAAGGTGCTGTTGAGTCTTCTGGACTGGAAGCGAGCCCGGGTCAGATCCAGAACTCTGCAGGAGATCCTCTCTGGTCTGGGGACGCCTGGAGGTCCAGGAGGAGTTGAGAAGGTGTCTGAGGAGATCTGGGTTTTGGCGGAGGGACCGGTCTTCTCCTGTTTCCCAGGTTTTGGTGACGCGAGTGTTGATCCGGTCAAAGTCAGGTGAAACGATGTCGCCTGATTAGAGCATTTCAACAAACAGCTGTTTTTATTTTTGTTTAGGAGAAAACAGTTCTGTTGTTGTTTAGTTGTTTGTCATGCTTGTTGTTGTTTTTAGTTGTTGTTTAGCTGATTTTAGCTTTTAGCTCGTGTTCTGCTGTGTTCCTCAGTTTCAGCTCATTTGGCTCTCAGCACCTCAGAAGCTGTTTGTTTTCTTTGTTCCTGCCTTTTTGTTGTTGTTTGTGGTTCTGACCCGGTTCATTCAGAACTTGTTCAGGTTTCTCACGCTGCAGGACGGGTCGATGTGTTATTCTGAATGAACCCTCCTCGGTTCTGGGACCTGAGCCCTGTTGGGTCCAGGTGCTGGCGGGTCACGGTGCCTCCTGCGAGCCGGGTCGATGCCGGTCGGCCTCCTCGTGGTGTCTGACTCCTTATCAGCTGTAAATTTAAATAAACTCTTTCAGCTGCAGGTGTCCGACCTTGGCTCTGATGATTGCACCCGAACAGCTGGTTCTGTTGGGTTCAGACAGCGCCGTTATCAGAACCCGTCTGCTGGTCCCACTTTAAATATAAACTGTGTCTCTGAGACGCACAGGTGTTCTAACGAAAGCCCGTAAATGACCTGGAGCGCTCCGACTCGGGGAACAGAACCGACCCGGGCCACAGCTTCCAGATATCTGCCAGGCCGAGCTCTTCGGGTCGAACCGGGCCGATTAATAACAGCTCTGGGGAGTTAGGCTCAGCGTCTCTATGTGTTACAATGTTTTGGTTTCCATGGCGACAGCATTAACAGACAACACCTGAGTCCCAGGAGTTTGGTAGGTGTTTGTGTGTCTGTTCGGCTGATAAACAGCCGAAGCTGAAGTTAGAAACAAACCAGCTATTCCAGTTTGAACCTGGAACCACTGATCTGTGGATGACAACTGACGCCTCTGTGCTTCAGCTTCTTTTAGCTTCAGCTTCTTTTAGCTCCATACTTTGACCATCCAGCTCGATTTAAGCTCCGACCTGCTGAAGGAAGGTAAAGTTCAGCTCCTGCTTCAGTCAGATCTCTGCTCTGTAGACCAGCACGACGTCTGGACTTCCTCTGTAACCATCTGAGTCCTGACTGAGACACTCTTGTTTTGAAACTCCAGATTCAGACCTCTTCCTGTTTCCTGTCCACCTCTGACCTGACTACTGGATCCATGGAGGCCATTATATGATGGAAACATAGAAGGAAGAAAGGCATGCTGGGTAATATAGAAGACCCACAGTCTGCTGAATCACTTGTTGCCATGGTGATTTCCCCCCAAAATGTAGTAAAAGCTGTTAAGAAAGTGAATAATGAGAGCTGAAGTCTGCTGAAGAAACTGAATGTAAGCTTAAAGAAGAGAGCCTAGCTTAAAGCTAAATGAGCAACACACACAAAAAAAGACTAGCTAAAAGAACACTAGCTAAAATTTTAAGAAATGCAACGCCATCCAAAAGTAAAAAAACAAGACTAGCTAAATGCTAAAAGAAGAACACTAGCTAAATGCTAAAAGACAAAAAAACTAGCTTAAAACTAAAAGAAAGAACACAAGCTAAAAAAACACTAGCTAAATGCTAAAAGACAAAAAACTAGCTTAAAGCTTTAGCTTAAAGCTAAAAGAAAGAACACTAGCTAAAACATACTGGCTAAATTCTAAAAGAAGAAAACTAGCTTAAAGCTAAAAGAAAGAGCACTAGCTAAAAGAACACTGGCTAAATGCTAAAAGAAGAAAACTAGCATAAAGCTAAAAGAACACTAAAAAACTAGCTGATTGCTAAAAGAAGAAAACTAACTTACAGCTAAAAGATCACTAGCTAAATGCTAAAAGAAGGACACTAGCTAAATGCTAAGAAAAGAACACTAGCTATAAAAACTAGCTGAATGCTAAAAGAAGAAAATGAGCTTAAAGCTAAAAGAACACTAGCTAAAATTTTAAGAAATGCAACACCACCCAAAAGTAAAAAAACAAGACTAGCTAAATGCTAAAAGAAGAACACTAGCTAAATACTAAAAGATGAAAACTAGCTTAAAGCTAAAAGAAAAAACACTAGCTAAAAGAACACTAGTTAAATTCTAAAAAAAGAAAACTAGGTTAAAGCTAAAAGATAGAACACCATCTTAAAGAACACTAGCTAAATGCTAAAAGAAGAAAACTAGCTGAAAGCTTTAGCTTAAAGGTAAAAGAAAGAACACTAGCTAAAAGTACACTGGCTAAATGCTAAAAGAAGAAAACTAGTTTAAACCTAAGAAGAACACTAGCTAAAAAACTAGCTGATTGCTAAAAGAAGCAGAACATTAGCTAAAAGCTAAAAAATAGCCTCAAAAGACAGAAACAGAGCCAGTAGCTGAAGAAGTTTTAATGAGAACAACGTTTTTGAAGTAATTAAATATTTAAGTATTTCTATGGGAGAAACATTAGTAAATAAAGTTGGATATTTTGAAAAGTCTAAAAGTTACAAAACCCAAAAGTGTCAGCAGCTGAACGAGACAAATGTTTTGGTTTATGAACAGCTAAAACACCACGACGTTTGTACAAGTGGCTGTAAAAATGCTGAATCATCCAAGTTATGTTTGTTTTGGTGTCTGGTCTAAAATGTTTTAAAGCAGGTTCAGGGTGTGTGTGTGTGTGTGTGTGTGTGTCCTTGTTTATGCTACATTGTGAGGCCCATTTTTCCAACTTATACTGCATTGTGAGGACCAACTGCTCCTTATGGGGCCCAAAGCCCGGGCCCCATAAGAAGAAGTCCCGTTGGTGGGTTAGGGCCTAGGTTTAGGACTAAGGTGTGAATTGAGGATGTGTTAGGTTTAGGGTTAGGTATGTACTGGTAATGGTTAGGTTATGGATAAAGGTCATGGTTAGGCTATAGAAATGAATGAAAAATGAATGGAAGTCAATGCAAAGGCCCCATATAGATAGCAAAACAAACCTGTGTGTGTGTGTGTGTGTGTCTCTTTGTTTGATTCTATTTTTTGTTGCTTCTGTTCTTCTGTTGAAAACGTGGCGCTGACGGCAGACACATTAATTTCCATCATCCTCCACTTGTCTGACCCTCCTTGTTGCTTTTGTGTGTGTGTGTGTGTGGGGGGGGGGGGGGGAGCCATTTAACCCGTTTGACACACTTCACGGACGGGCATCGGGTTGAGAGGCACGAGCCATCTGTGACGAGTCCAGCGTCCTCAGTCCTGTTGACAGCAGGACGGGGGACATTTGTCTGGGTGGACGGGTCCATCTTGAAGTAGAACACGGCAGCTGGTGGTCCTGGTGCTGTCAGGGCCCACTGGGTGATAATGTAAAGATATTATCATGGGATTATCATAGAGGAGGGGGTCTGGCCTGGTCTGGGGTCACACTTTAAAACACATCATCATCATCATCATCATCATCATCATGATGTCATTAACCCAACAGTTCCAGGTCCTGTCTTTGGGACTGGAAGGAAAATTAGTTTTTTAATAAAAACTGCACATTTTTGTTCACAGATAACTCCAACAGATAAAGTTAAAAATATTCAGCAGTGTGTAGCCCTCAGAGTTTGTGTTAGGAACGACTCTCAGCTACTACCACACCTCAGTTTAGCTCAGAACCCGTCAAACTGGCTGAGTGATAACCCATTTTGTGTTTTGATCAAAATCTGTCAGTGAGATATGAAGTTCTTCTGTTGTGAAGGTATTATTCATTCAACCTTTATTTAGACAGGTTAATCCCTCGAGGACTCATTTACAAGAGATCTGAAAGTATCAACGTGATTGATGAAAATAGCACTAAAACTGCACAGCCTCTCGATATGTTCAATGCGGATCATTATTCCTGCAGTTTTGCAGGAACATTTATCCCAACCTGCTGCTGCTGCAGGAAGGATCGCTCTGTGGAACCAGTTCTTCTTCCTCACAGGCTCAACTCATTCTCCGGTGGTGTCTGAGCATGCGCAAGGAGGCTCGTCAGCCGTGGGCGGGAACAGGAATGACCTTCACAGTCCGAGCGGACAAAAGGGGGTGCAATAGTGCTTTTTTTAAACAAGAATCACGATATTTATCTCAAATTAATTAACATAATTTTAATATTATTGTAATTTTAATGTATTATTTACGTATTGTGGTAATTATTTGTAACTATTAGTGTTTTATGGTGTTAAAGTTAAAAACCAGGGTGGGCTCCCCCCGTTAGTCGCGGTGGAGTGGTACGGTCCAGCCGTTGTCAGCGTTCTGCCTTTCTGCCTCCTGTCGTCATTTCTCGTCTTAAAATGAAGCCGATGAGACGGCGGCTCTTACGGAGGACAAGGAAAAGAGACTGTAAAAATAGAGCTGGCATCTACTAATCCCTCCGCCGAAATGAGGGTTTAACAAAATAATTTATAGACGGACTCCGTGAAGGAGGGCCTTCATGAAGAGCCCCGAGCTGCTCGCTTGGTTATGTCGGAGCCGCCGCAGTCCTGCTCGCGTTTTATCCATTTATTCGATTCTGAAGCAGGGATTCAGACAAAGACCGATCAAAGACTTCCAAGTAGATGCATAGATTAACGTTAAGCTTTTTTTTTAATTAATCGATTGTTTTTGTAGTTTTTATCCGTTTGTAAATTGGTTTAGCGACGCTAAGGATATTATGTATAATACGGTCTGGACGACGGATAAATCCGGGGAGGAAGGAGGCTGGCGGGACGTGATGATGCCCTACTCCACCGAGCTCATATTCTACCTGGAAATGGACCAACCGCCCGGTGAGTACTAATCTTTTACCTGGAAATGGGCCGGGTCAGTTGGAAGGAGGCCGCTGACAAAAGAGGGGATGTCGGGTGATCGTTAGCCAGTAGCTGGTGGCTGTACGGAGAGGGGGGTGTTGTACTCGGTTTGGTGTCCCCTGAAATCTGTAGACAGGATGAACCTCCTGCTGCTGTCCTTTCCCGAAATTAAAACATCATTGTTTGTTGATCCTTTGATTCAAACGGCTGTCTGGTATTGTGGGATTAAATTAAACCCTGTAGGCTTTTATTCAACTTCACTTTTAAACATTATCCTTTTTTAGTTTCTTTGCAGATAGAAACAGTTGTTCAGGAGATTCATTCGCTGGAGGAAAGCTGCAGCTTTACAGGCTCATTTTGGAAACACTTAAAACATTAAAAATTATTTCATCAGCCGGAATATTTGCACTTCTATGCAGATTATGGGATGTGAATCCTGTAAGGGTTAGTTGGAGTTGAACCTGCATTCTGTGTAGTTTAATTTTAAAACTTCGCTGTAATGCGAGACTTTCCCTCAGAGATGGGTTTGCAGTGGGTTTTGTTCTGGATCCTTCTGAAATCAGCTTTACAGGGAGGGGGATGGGTCTCAGAAGGACCAGGACGCGGAACAAAACCTGGACTAAAACCTATCCAGACCTTTTCTAATCTCAAAACCCCTCGCTGGCGCTTATCTGGAGGTCTTTGTCTCCATCTTTACCCAACTGTCACCCATGATTCATTCATTCATTCATTCATTCGTGGCTCCCAGGATGCAGCAGATCTGGGTTTGTTGGTGCGTCAGGGTTCGGTTCAGTCCTGACAGACCCATCACTGTGGGCACTTTGTCAGCTTTGGGTTTATTGTCAGATTATTTAATCTGAGTCTCAGAGGAGAGGATGTGATTTACGGTTTTCTGCTCGTTAAAGCTCCGTCAGGTTGTGATCAGACACGAACTGTTTGTGCTGCTTCTGAAGATCATCGATGAGTTAAAGTTCATCCAGACAAAGACGGAGCTCGTCTTTGTGTTCGCTGCAGCAGGACCTGGATGAGCTCATCTTTGTCTCTCAGCCCGTCTTTGTGCGTCTCTGTCCCCACACGTATGTCAGGGGCCACACGTGTGTTAGAGAGGATGGAGCGTTGCTGCAGGTTGCGTCTTCCTGCTCTGCAGCTGTGGGTCTGCGTGCAGGTACAGGTGTGTGATTAGCACAGGTAATGAGCCCGACCAACGTCTTGTTTCTTCTCATCAGATTAAAGTTGTGGTTCTGGGGCCACATGTGGTCCTTTGTTGCTGTGAACGACGAGATGTTCATTTTAACCCCCACAGCGAAGGCTAGTCATGTGACAGCAGAGTCCCTTTTGTTGTTCGCCTGTTTTTATTTGATGTACAATTTATCCACCTCCTAGCCATTTTTTGCTGCTTTAGCTTTCAGCTGGCGTTCGGCTTCTTCATTGAGCAATCGCACAGTTTCTCTGATTTTAGCCATTTTTCCTGTTCTGAGTTTAAATTGCATACTGATGCAAGGGTCAGAAGAATGAGGATAATCCTGATGTTTGAGTGACAGCTGCCTGTTAACAGCATGGTGCTCCTGAAATTAAAGTTTAAATGTTTAAAAACCCGTTAGAACCATTTAGACCCCATCAGAACCCAGCAGAACCTTCGACACGATGCAGCTTTTTGTCTGAATCAACCTGTAGATTCAAGGTTAGAAGCTCCGCCTCCTTCCTTTCTTTCCCTGCTAAGCCCCGCCTCCTCCTCCTCCTGATTGGCTGAGAGGGTGTTCCTCCACTCAGGGATTAGTGATGATGTAGACCGCCTGGTTCTTCAGTCTGAGGAGGAGGAGGAGGATGAAGCTGGCTGAGTGTGGGATGACGGACGGTAAAACACATTTCTGTTTCTATTGTTTTTAGTTCTGCAGTAGAACCTCCGGTTCTGTCCGTCTCTTTGTCTCAGGTGACTCACTTTACAAACAGAACATTAAAGTCCTGCAGCTGGTTCTGACCGGGTCCAGATGCTCCAGAACCTGCAGGTTTATCTGATTTATGTAACTTTTTTTTCTCTCAGCTGTTTTCATGTTAAACTCTGAGATGGTTCTGATCCGAATGAAAACCGTTGTGTGTGTGTGTGTGTGTGTGTGTGTGTGTGCATGTGTGTGCATGTGTGTGTGTGTTCTTTGTCTGGGGGGGGTTCTGCACCATCGGACCTCTTTGTTTGTGGTCCAGCAGCTGTTTGCTCTTTCAGACACCTCCTGGTTAAAACTGGTATTTGTTTGTTTGTTGTTGTTTACAGGCTGATTGGACTCCAATCAGGAGTATTGATCAGTGATCAGAACATTCTGTTCTGAATGTTCTGATCAGCAGCAGCCTGAACTGAATTAGTTCAGGCTGCAGAAACTTTAACTCAGGACACGGTTCTGGTTCTGGATGGGTCAGTGGTCCGTGAATGATTTTGCAGCTTTTGGACTTTTTGTTTCGAACTTTCAGGCTCGGAGGTTCTGGTTGTTCTTCGTTACGTTCTTTGTTCACTTCACGTCGTACATCAGTTTTCCTAAACAAGTACTAGAACAGGGTCAGAACCCGGCACCGTTTGGACCAGCACATGGGTTCAAACCACACCAGTAAGGTTTAATGAGGTCTGCTGGAAACAAAGTATTTCACAGTCTTCGCTTACCTGCTTGTGTTCCATTTTGTGTATTCGACTGTATACTGGTTGCGTACCTGGCTGTGTACTACTGGTTGTGTACCACTTTGTGTTGCATACCAGTCACGTACTTGGTCGTGTACCTGGTTGTACATCTGGTTGTGAACCTGGTCGTGTATTGGGATAGTCCAATCCACTATTGTCGCTTCCGATACAGAAAGAACAGATGAATTAACTTAAAACATTAGTTTTTTTAAACGCAGGCATGAATATACTGAATTATACTGAATTATACTGAATTACACTGAATTACACTGAATTACACTGAATTATACTGAATTATACTGAATTACACTGAATTATACTGAATTATACTGAATTACACTGAATTATACTGAATTA